GGAAAAGAAAAAACTAGATTTCCAAGTGAAATATCCCTACTCTTGACTAATACTGGATTAGCAGAACTTTATAAGGTCTTTGTGGTAGGGATCCAGGGGAATGGGGCATGTTCATTTCCATTAACTAACATGGGCTATAAAATCAGCACTGTTTTAGTTTAACTTTCTGGAAAAATCTTCACTTTACTTTGTATGGTGGATTCATTAGGTTCATTGTCTTTTCCATTAATGTCTAGGCCAACTCAGTAATTGGTTTGAACAAATAGATAAATCCTACAGTTTTACCTCAAATCCATTTATTTACATGATCTTAAGAGCATTACACAAACAGAAAACATTATTGAAATCCTTTCATTTTTTGATATTTTAAGTTTAGTGGGTTTATTTTATTTCTTCTATTTTATTGAGATATGTACAATAAAATGCACAAATCTTAGTGTACATCTCAATGAATTTTGACATGTGTATACACTCATGTAACCATAACCCAGATCAAGATATCAAACATTCTCACTAATTATTTTTCCCTTTCACCTATTTCACCCAACCCCCATCTCCCATGCCCTGTGGCAACCACCAGTTCGTTGTGTTTGAATCTATTTCTATTTTGTTTGTTTGCTTATTCATATTATTTTTCAGATTCCACATATAAGTTAAATCATATGGTATTTTTCTTTCTCTGAGACTTATTTCACTTAGCATAGTACCCTCTAGGTCCATCCATGTTGCCGCAAATGGCAAGATTTCCTTGCATGCAAAGATTGTTCACGCATTTCTTGGTGCCACCAATAGGGCACCAGAACCTAGAAAAGGGGTAATATTTATAGCATCTGATATGTATGTTCCATTCTATTGTTTCACTCTTAGAATTGGTAGCACACCCAAACAAATATAAATGGCATTTTAACTCCTTGAAGAGATTTATTTTTTGATCATTGTGTAAATATGATGTTGAACTTTGTTTGCCGTTCAAGCTTACAAGGTTAATGACATGAATTTGGACTTGTTTGTTATGACATTGGTGATTGTACTGGAGCTGGTGTTGTCAATAACATTTTATGATAATGATATTAATAATAAAAAGGTAACTACTTATTGAGTGTTTGTTATGCATCATGCTTCAAAGGGTTTTCTGATCCTTAAATCATTTAATCCCCATAAAGTCCCAGGAAGTAGGCATTAGTGTCTCTATTTTACATATAAGAAAACTGAGACTGAAAAAAATTAACTTGTCCCAAACTATCTAGTTACTCAGAACCAGATTCAAACCAAGTTCTAATTAGATGTATGGAAAAGAGGCCAGAGGGTATTTATTGAGCATCTGCTATGTATCAGGTCATATTCTGGGTTTTTAGTTCTAGTGAGCAAAATTAAGTTCCTGTTTCATTGGGGTTGTATTTTATTTGTGGTAAACCAGTAATCATATACAATATAATATCCAGCAGTACTAGGTGCTCTAAAGGAAAGAATTAGGTAAGAACATTGGGATCCATTTTCCATAGGATGATGAGGGAAGGTCTATCTGAGGGGGTGATGTCTAACCAGAGATATTAGAATGAAGTGGAGGGATGAGCAAGGGGAATTTCTATGACTGTTCCTATGACAGTCACCCCATAATACAATTCACCATTCAGTTCTAGAACAATATGGCCTATTGGCTGGTTATATTTAAGAAGGTTATGCAGTATCTTCCTACAGTGAGACCAAGGATTTAGGAGGCAGACCCAGATTAAAATTCTGGTTCTGCTACTTATTCCCCTGAGGTATTTGGGCACCTTAAATTAATTTCCAAGCTTTAGTTTCCTGATGTGTAAGGAGTCCTTATATCTTATTATAAATTAAAGTTGCACACATTAAGTCCTTAGAACTGTGTGTGTGTATATATATATATATATATATGTAGGAGTCATATAATAGGTAATAATTATTAGAATTACTTTTGTAACCTGTGTTTTGCAGAAGGCCATGGAGAAGTTTTCTGTTGTGTTTTGTGGTCAAAGTCTGGGGAGGGGATGTGGCATAGCAGATCCCCATTAATTTTCAGAACTGAATAGGGAGCGTGGTCAGAACGGAAACAGATGTAGGAGATAAGCTAAGAGAGAAGCCTGGTGTGGATAAAGTGGGTTTTCAAATCACATTAGTTAAGTGCAAGAATGAGAACTCATGAGGTGATTTGAGAGTGAGGCGGGCAAGCGTTATTTATTTATTAAATATGACATTAAGAAGCATTCCAGAATAGACATACAGCTACAGGGGTTTACAGAGTAGCATGGAGAGCGAGAAGATGAGAGATAAGTAAAATTTCCCACCTTTCATAAAGCCCACCTTCCTGCTTCTACAGACATGCGTTTGCTATTTAAAATGACATTTTCTGGAGGCAGGCTGGCTCATTGCCTGAGATGCATGAAATCCGATCTAGTACCAGTTTGCCTTCCAGCATGCTGTATGGCTTTGAGTTGATCATTTCACCTCTTTGCCTTCAGGTAGAGGAGAAAAAAAATCTCTACACCTTGCCGATCTCAAAGGTATCATTTTAGACCAACAAAAATAAGTTTAAAATGTCCCTGATGTGGGGACAATGACTTAGTGTTAAATATGGGAGCATAATTTAGTAAAGAGGCTACCTTGTTTGACTCACTGCCTTATCTCCCTGGCAGTGAATTAGGTCTGTAGCCATCTGTGCTGCGGGAAACATTTTCCTGTGGCTGGGGTAGCGAAACCACTGAGGTTCCAGTGCAAACACACGGGCTTCTGGAAAGGTGTGCATCTGGTCCCGATTTTCTGACTTCGCTGAATTTTAACTGTCACCCTGTCTCGGACACTTGTCTCCTCTGAGCCTAGGTTTCTAGATCTATAAACAAAGACGGCAGTAACACGGTGTAAGATATTGTGAGGATTAAATGGATGTAAACTTATTAGCATTATGTCTGCCACTGCCACTTGCAAATGTTACTTTTTATTTTTGTTTAAGACCTGAATTCCTGGAGTTATCTGGAGGCCCCTTCTTCAGGAGGACTTTTCAAACCAGTGGCAGGCTGGACAGGCAAAGCGTCAAGTGGAAATAACCCACTGCATTTGCTTCTGTGTGAGGAGCTGGGTTTGCTCCAAGATGACCCTCTGTCAGGGAGCAGTGGGGGCTCATTTTGGCCTGAGTTCCAGTGGCAGTTCCTGTGGGTGTGGGGGCTTCAGAACTGCTCCAAGATGACTAGATGACCAAAGTTCTACTGCTCCATAGTAGCTATTGTACGGCAAGGTGCAGGCTGACATGTTGGCTCGCAGCGACTCCCGTCCCTTGTGAACACACCTACATTTGCTGCAAGTTGTGAGGCTTCGGGCATCCCCCACTTCATCTTTTGAGTCAATGGGGAGGAGGAAATGGCTTGCCTTGATTACTATGTAGGTTGTCTTTCTCAGAAAAGCAGGCTGCAAATCCCAGTGGCTTCTCGGCGCTGTCTCAGATGCTCCCATCCTTCATCATGTTATTCCCATGGTAACTCTCAGTAAAGGAGAAGAGGGACAGCTAACCATTGAGAAGCTATTTTTAGATTTCTTGCCAGATGCTTTGACAAATTTGTTGAGGGAAAGAAAATGAAGCAACTGCAGAAGAGGCTTTTTTGTGTGTATGTGAAGGGAAACACAGTCATTTAAAGACAATGTCATTTAAAATTCATATTATAAAACCAGAAAAACCTTGAGAAATCATTCAGCCTACCTCTACTCCTAGGAAGATCTACTTCCAAATCATACCCAAAAAATTGTGCAATAAGATTTTTTTGAATATTTTACTTAATAGCCTATTTTAATAGATAACTATATTTCCTATCCTGAATTTACACTGCATTCAGTGTCAGTTTCCAGACCAAGGGAATTGGGAATGAGACTGAATATGATTGGTCAAGTTGTGGACTACATTGAGGGTATCATTTATTTCAACTACACTACTAAGGATACTCCTTAGGTTTGTGCAGTGTACATCCTGTGCAACTAACTATATGGCTTTATTTATTCATTTAAAAATATAAACACCTTCCAACTGCCTTAAAAACCTTCAGGAATTTCCCATTGCTCTTAGGCTAATGCCCATAAATCTTTAAAGTGTCTATAAAGTATAGCATGATATTGATCCTTTTTCATGTCCAGAATCACTTATAATTCACCCTCTTTATGTTTTAGCAGCTACCTGGCATGGCCCTAGCCATGCTGGGCAGGGATTTCCAGGAATGCATTCACTGATATCTGATGTAGCAGGAAACTTAGACAAAAAAGATTTTCACCTACGGAGCCTTCCCCTTGGTTTGGAGAGTTGCATGCCTCTGTTGCAGTGAACCTCTTTCTTCTTTCCTTTTCACACCTGACTTTGACCCACTGCTCACTTTGGTGTCGGTTCCTATGCAGTCCCTGTGAGTCACTCCTTCTTTTATTCCTTGTGGAAGAGCCTTCTCACTGCACGCTGGAGCCGTCTCACTCAACAGAGCACACATACATCCGTGTAATGCTGCTGACCCCAGAACAATCCTATGATACAGGTCTTGCTATTCCTGAGAAATTGGGGCTCAAAGATTATAAAATTGGTAAATTGATAAGTAGAAGAAATTTTAAATGGCTAAATGTTAACCTTGACTACTCTGTCACATATTTTACTTTGGGTTTAAGATGGAGATATAGCAATTGAACAATGTCTACAGAACATATTTTGCCACATGGCATGCCATGTGAGACATCATCAACTTTAAGATATGCCATTATTAATATGCCACTGAGAACGGAAAAAGTACTGTCAATTAAACTATGTCATTTAAATTATGTTGATTGTTATCCCTAGCTCAATTATAGGTGTTCTAATGTAGGACATGTCTTAGAATGGACAAATATGGTACTTATTCAAGATATTTGCATGCCTTTAATGTGTAAGACGCTTGCTAAAATATTAATTGTCATAAAGTAATAAGACAGAAGAAAGTAAATGCAAGCATATTTACAGTATAGTGTTTTCCCTTCAGCAAACATCGACTGACCTAGAATTTGACCGCGTAGTGATTTATACCACGTGCCTTCGTGTGGTACGAACAACCTTTGAAAGATGTGAACTGGTTAGAAAGATCTTCCAAAACCATCGGGTAAAATTTGAAGAGAAAAACATAGCTCTCAATGGTGACTATGGAAAAGAGTTAGATGAACGATGCCGACGGGTTTCTGAAGCTCCTTCTCTCCCTGTTGTGTTCATTGATGGCCACTATCTTGGGGTAAGTACGCTGCTAAGGATTATCTTTTTTATTGACCCCAACCAGTGTTAGAATCTACAAGCCTGTGACAAGGCAAGTTGCATGTAACTACCAGGACATGTGCTATTTTTTGGATTGAAAACACTTATTTCTATCCCACATGATCTGTTCTAACAGTGTTCTTCCCTGCAGAAATACGGTGAGATATAATCAGCATGAAATTGTCTTTTGGAATAGGAGTGTGTTTTTTTAAATATTCAGTTGACTTGAATTTTGCTTGATATGTGGGATAAAAACTTTGTGTGTGTGCAGGCAAGAAAAACAAAACACTGCAAGATATACACTTGTGAATTTCCTTATACCCCCATTATCAAACCCTCAGTCTCCTACCTAATGAAACTAAGATGACAATCCTGAAATGAAATCAGTAAGAAATGGGGCCTAGAGCTAAAATTTTATCTTATCTGCTTGTTGTTTAGAATTATTCTTAATATTGGTAATGCAGCATTCTGAGATACAAATGCAGGCTTACAGTAAGCAGAGGGAACTCCCAGGGCAGCAGCAAAGCACGTTTGCTTCATTCCTCTTTGAGTAACACTGTTAGCCTAATTAACTCCCACTGAGCTGTGAACAGGCTCTCTCCTTAGAGGCCCAAGAAGAGGGCTCTGGAGAGGGCTCTTTGGAAAGGGTGGGAACAAAGAGCCAAGGGCCTGCAGTGGTTGAGGGGTGGGACTGCCTATATGTTCACTTATCCGAGAGCAAGAGCTGCTGTCGAACTGCAGATGATACTTGATTTTGTTTTGCATCTGGCTTTAACTTTCAGTTTTCAGGAGAGTCCAGAAAAATCCAGAGCAGGAAATGCTCATGTTTTGCTGCAGAGAAGCTGTGTTCTGATATCCTGTCTAGAGCCATGGTTATTAGACTGTCATCTTACAGAAAGATAAATGCAGAGAAGCCATAATTTGATAGTTATGATGCAATGCAATCTTACTTGTAAACAGAACTGGGCACAAACTACATTCTGAAGCACAGGAATTTTGAAGGATTGGGTCTCTTATTATATTGAAACAGGGACCCTTAGGTCCCAGAAAGCTGCAATAATGGCAGGGACATCCTCTAAGCTTTACATGTGTCATTTCATGTAACCCTCAGGATAGTCTTAGAAATCAAGTCTGGCATATGGGTTAAGAGGCAAGACAGCCTTGTTTCACATTCTTGATCTGATATGTCTATGTGATTCTGGGAGATTTGTGAATCACTCCTTGACTTGGTTTCCTCATTTGTAAAGTGAGAATGATAACAGAACTTTTCTCATAGGCTAATTGTGAGAATTTTATAATATATAATATATAAAAGTGTTCAGTTCCTGTGCCTGGGACAAAGTTATGTTTTCAATAAACAGTAACAGTTATTATCCTTGGCTTTGCAAGATGGACCATCAATCCTTTTGTTCCAAATGGCATACCTGGCTAATGGCAGGGTCAGAACTAAAAGTTAAGCCTGTCTGATTACCTAAAACCTTTCTTTTGCATATCAGCTCAAGGAAAGGGATCTTTGATAGCTTGTCTGCCAATTTATTCTTAGTACTTAGAACAGAGTATGACACAAAGTACTCAAAAATATATGTTGAATGGATGCATGAATGATGCTGTATTGTCTCACATTTTTTTCCTTCTCTTCCTCAGACGTTCTTCCACAAGGAAAGTATTTGATTAACTCACCCACACTGGGAGCAAATCATGATAAGGGTGTGGGCATTTGCCTTTTAACCCCAGAAAAAATTCTGACAATGTAAGACAGTTCTCACTGTGGAATTTTAATTTGTGTGAAACCACATTTAAACTTATTGGGCAACTGCCTACTTGCACAGGCATAAGCTTGGCCCCATCCAAGACTCCAGTCTTGACCTTGGTTACCTTCTTCCTATGCCTGAGGCAATCTAACGGGCTGCAGTGTCTTCCCTGCTATCTGACTTTTGGTTAGAGGGATAGATGGAGAGTGCACCAGACAAAGAAGGTAGGGCGAATATTTCTTTTGCAATGTGTAGCTAATGTCCCAAATCTGGAGAGAGGCCAGAGACAAACATTCCAGAACAACTTAAATAATGAATTCCCCTCCTACTACAATAGGCCCTTTATTTAAATTCCAGTGCACAGTTGTAAATGGAATACATTGTAGAAATTGTAGAGCCCTTTCCCTGCAGTATTCATGCGTCTGAAATGGAAGGATGCCCTCTGCTGGGTTTTGGCACGTGGTGAAGCATATTTTTTAGGGAAGAAAGGAAGCTGATGTTGATAATTTCCTTAACATCTGTGATGCTCTGAACAGTTGCATGAAACCATTTGATTTATTTCAAATTTAGAGGGATGAGAAAAATAAGGATGCTTGGCTCATCTGCACAATACAGTATTCTTTAAGGAGGGAGAGAGAGAAATAGAGAGGACCAGAGAAAGAGGAAGACAGAGACAGAAACAGAGGCATCTGTGGCAGACAGAGAAGGGATGGGAGAGCAAGAGAACATTTTGCAGCTCCCTAGTTTTATTGCCATTATTGCTACCAGACCCAGGGGAGGTTGATGAGAAAGGAATTCCCTTATCTTCCTTGGAGGGAAGGTAACAGAGTTCAATGGACAAGAACCCAAGAATTGACAAGGATGCTAAACACTTTTTTCCTGATGACTCTCCTCCTCAGCCAAATTAAAAACTGAATATGGAAACAAGAGAACAGTCAAGGGAAGAAATTACTTTATGAAACAAATCACTGCTCTGGGATGCTCTGGTGGGGGGTGAATGAGGGGATCAGCCAGGGGCAAGGTCAGCCCAGAACTTTCTTAGGATGACTCTACTGTTGTTTTGGCATCAGAAAATCCTTACACAAAAAGATTGTGTTCGAATAGTTTGGACATCAATTATCTTAGGAAATCCAGTAGGAAATAGGTTAGAAATAGTGTCTTGACTGTTGACAACCATAAAGCTCTAAGGTAGAAATCCACAAAACCCACATTGAAACTGAGCTATAAAACACATAGACTGGACTAGGTGGGGGTAACAGAGGAATAGAAAGGGTGTTGATCTAGATAGGTCTCTTAAACTAGCTTGTATTGAGGTGTGACTACTTGATAATTCTATACCTGAATTAAAGTTAAATTATTTAAAGTATTTTTTAAATTTAAAAATGAACCACTATTGAATATAGGCAGTTTATACATTAGAAATATAGACTCTAGGCACATTTCTAGGGACTACTTGTAAAATACTTCTGTAGAAATGAGCCACTGGCCTCTGTCACATCAGGAAGTAGTCAGCTCCAGAAACGGACTGTCTTTACTATGGTCCACACTAGCAAAATGGATTATTTGTTCTCTGCCCTTTTTTCTACGTAATTCTGTTCCTAAGTAAAGAAAGTCTCCAGTGAGTGTATCTGTTTATGGTTACTAAGTAAGTCACATATGATAACAGTGAGGGAAATGGGGAAATGTGCTTTTTAGTGTTCTAGCCTCTACAGTACAGAAAGACATTCTAGAAGGAGATTGGAGTGGTTACTGAGTGAGCTAGTATCTGCCAGATATGCTGTTTTTGTTTATTTTATTTTGCTTAAATCAGATTATTGTGTGTGATTTACATATAGTAAACTGTAACCATGTAAATTATATGATTTGATGAGTTTGACAAATTTGTATACGTGTTTATTTAATAATACATTCAAGGTAAAGAGCACTTACATAACTCCCCAAATATTCCTCATGCCAGTTGGCAGTTAATCCCCTCCTCCAACCCCAGTCCCCTGGAAACCATTGATCTTTCTGTAAATATAGCTTTTATTCTTCCGATGTCTTTGGTTTTGTTATCAGGGTAATGATAACCTCATCAAGTGAATTTGGAACTACTCTCCTCTCAGCAATTTAAATTTCTGGTTCTCTTTATTCTTTGGTGTAGAACATTATATCTCTTTAATGTCATTTCCTTTATGGGAAGGACTGTAGGTTAATTCTTTCAACATTGTTATATCTGAAAAATGTTTATTTTACTTTTGTTTTTATAAGATATTTTTACTGGGTACATAATTCTAGGTTGAGAGGTTTTCCTTCCAGCAGTTTAAATTTATTGCTCTTCTATCTTCTCACATGCATTACTTCTAATAACAACTATGCTGTCATATTTATCTTTGTTTCTCTGTATGTAATATGTTTTCTCCCCACTCGGACTACATTTTTCTCTTTATCTCTGAATTTAAGAAACTTGATTATGATCGTCTTGGTATAGCTTTTTAAATGTGTCTTTTACTTAGCATTCATTGAGATTCTTAGATTATTAGGTTTATAGTTTTTATCAAAGTTGGAAAACTTCAGCCATTATTTTTTCTATTAGTTAATCTACCCTTCTTTCTCTTCTTTTCAGAGGCCTAATTACACACATTTTAGGCTACTTAAGTTGTTGCATAGTTCACTTTATTTCATTTTAGATAGTTTCTATTGCTGTCCCCTAGATCCCTAATCTTTTCTTGTGTAATGTCTAATCTTCTGTTAATCCTACCCAGTGTATTTTTTATATCAATATTGTAATTTTATCTTTAGACATTCAATTAAAAAAATCTTCCATGTTTTTATTTAACATTTCAACCTTTATTCTAGCTTTCTGAACATATGGGAGGGATATAGGCATAAATGGCTTAATCTCCTTCTCTGACAATTCTAATATCGGTTTCAGTTCTGGGTTAGTTTCAAATGGTAGATTTTTCTGTTCACTACGAGTCATATCTTCCACTTCTTTGTCTTTCTATTAATTTTTTATTGGGTTTCACATATTGTGAATTTTACCTGGCTAGGTAAATGTATTCCTTGTTGGGATGTTTTTGTATTCCTATAAATATTCTTGAGGTTTTTGCTGGGATGCAGCTAAATTACTTGGGAATAGTTTGCTATTTTGGGTTTTGTTTGAAAGATTTCCTAGGCAGGGCTGGAGAGTGTTTAGTCCAAAACTAATTATTCTCCAGTATGTAGGGATGATCTTATGAGAACTTTA